TAGTAATGGTACGTGTAGTATAGAGGTACGTATATTAACGACTAATGGGCTGATATGAGGTACATGTAACATAATGAGCTGATATGAGTACATGTAACATAATGGGGCTAATATGAAGGTACATGTAACATAATGGGGCTAATATGGAGGTACATGTAACATAATGGGGCTGATATGGAGGTACATGTAACATAATGGGGCTAATATGGGGGTACATGTAACATAATGGAGGTGATATGGAGGTACATGTAACATAATGGGGCTGACATGGAGGTACATGTAACATAATGGGGCTAATATGGAGGTACATGTAACATAATGAGGCTGAAATGGAAGTATGTGTAATATAATGGGGCTGACATGGAGTACATATAGCATAATGGGGCTGACAGAGGTAAATATAACATAATAGGACTTCATGAAGGTATATATAATGGGGCTGTTATGGAGGTACATGTAACATAATGGGGCTGACATGGAGATGAGGCTTGTATCAGATAAGTGAGCAGAAGAATTAACAACAAACAACTGAAAAGTTATTTGTGTGAAAAAGAAATAAAAAAAAGAGATATCTTAATGTGAAAGTCATCCTTCGAGAAATTATTTGACATCATTGAATTTGTTGACATTCTACTAGATAAAGATGTTAACATATTTTGTACTTGAAAAAGCAGCTCATTTTTTAATGAAACATGTTTCTACTGTGAATTTATGTCATGAAATGAGAGTGTTTTCTGTGTAAGACAGTTGTAATCTTTGTTTTATCGTGAAAGACTGATTAAATCATGGATTATAAAGAACACTCATCTAGTAAATATTTTTGTATTCTTACATAACGTGAGTACATGCAGATGTATTTAGTTATGCGGCTAAAACTGTTATTATTGTTAAGTTACATTTTTTTTCATTTGAAAACAGATGTTTGTTTTGAGTTTAATTGAGTTTAATACTAATATGAAAGCTTTGTTTTTGCTACTTATGAACAATCAGATTTTTTCTTGTCTTAGAATGTATTTTATTTATAACTTTGATATGCAGTTAGGTAAGCAGTATTTTTTAATGGTCTTGCCAATGAAATGGAAAGTAAACAGTATTTACTCTACAGTACTAGTAGCCCCAGTGAAGTTTCATTGGCAAAATGTTGTCTGAAATAAAAGTTTTTTATTATTCTCTGGAGACTAAATATAACTCTATTTCTAACTTGGCGGACACAGCAGATAGCCCAGTGTGGCTTTGCTATAAGAAAACACACCTATTTCTAACTTGGCGGACACAGCAGATAGCTATAAGAAAACACACCTATTTCTAACTTGGCGGACACAGCAGATAGCCCAGTGTGGCTTTGCTATAAGAAAACACACCTATTTCTAACTTGGCGGACACAGAAGATAGCTATAAGAAAACACACCTATTTCTAACTTGGCGGACACAGCAGATAGCCCAGTGTGGCTTTGCTATAAGAAAACACACCTATTTCTAACTTTATTCTTAAAATGTCTGAGTCCCTGCAGTATAAACTATAAATTCTGAAAAATATGTTCTTTATGCTGAAACTTACATAGACTGAATTATGTTGCAATGCCAAAATTTATGTAAAATATGTGTTTTATTTCTATGACATCAGAGGGTTCAAAGTTAGTTTATGTAAAATATGTGTTACATTTCTTAACAGTAGTTAATATATAATATCTGAAGGTTGAAATTTGAGTCCCATTTCTCATCCATGACCTGTAAAGATTCTCAGTAAAATTTAAAATATCCATACATGTTGTTGTGATGTAAAAAATGTATCAGATTGTAGTTACTACTTGAAGTATGGTAGTCACCATCAGTCACGTTAAAATGTATCAGATTGTAGTTACTACATGGAGTATGGTAGTCAACACCAGTCACGTTAAAATGTATCAGATTTTAGTTACTACGTGGAGTATGGTAGTCAACACCAGTCACGTTAAAATGTATCAGATTTTAGTTACTACGTGGAGTATAGTAGTCACCACCAGTCACGTTAAAATGTATCAGATTGTAGTTACTACGTGGAGTATTGTAGTCACCACCAGTCACGTTAAAATGTATCAGATTGTAGTTACTACGTTAAGTATGGTAGTCACCACCAGTCACGATAAAATGGGATGTTGAAACAGTTTATTATTTTGGAGCTTTAAAAATAATATTCAGAATTTGTATTATTTTCACGTTTACCTTTAGTTGTTAGAATTTACGTTTAACTTCCAGGTGATATATTCTCGATTCATTTCCCCCAATCCTGAATCTTTTATGTTCTAGTTGATTAGCAACCAGTTCATATTTATAATAAGTAAGATACACCTTGAATTTATTTTTTATTTCACTACAAATAGATCTTCAGAGTTACAGCCTAAGGAATTGATGTTCCACTTAGATGATAAAAAACCACTTAAGACTGGTGAAAACACGAGTTACGATTATAAAACATCTCTAAAGGCCACAACAGCAAGCAGCAAAGGTCCTGTAAGACCAACACAGAAAAAAACATGTACGTATGGCATAGATGAAGACTGTGCCATCAACGAGCACTGTGTCGTTTATAACAACAGAGCTCGTCAAGGCTTCTGTGAATGTGACGATGGATACACAAGGTCTGAGTCCACGGGGGAGTGTCAGCTTTTAACAACAAAAAGTGGGCTTAATGTAACAGCCACACCCTCTCTGCTACCAACCAACGTCACAAATGTACAGGTAATCATATTTATTTATCAAAACCAAGCGACCTTTTGGGAATGAAACGGGGGAGGGGGGGAATTAGGCGTTAAACATTCACCAAATGTCTCTAGCAGCATCTCGGAGTTTGGTTCTTAATTATTAAAGATAATTATTGCATTATTAATTACTTAGCTATTTCTTGGGCACTCGATTAAAAGTATGTTATGGTAAACATTTCAAGAAATACTAAAACAAACAATGAAGATAGTATATATAAATCTTCTGTCTATCAAATCTCATGAGAGCCTTTACTCTTTATGTATGTTATCAAATGTTATATTAATAGGTTTGTTGTACAATACTATTAAAGAAAAAATTATGAAATTAAAAACTTTCACGTTATTGTTTTCTAGAATTCTTCTCAGCCCGCTACAACCCCAAGCTCTGAATATGAAAATAAAGTAACAGGGAATAAGAAGTCTAGCTCAACGTCTGCCCCTATAGAACGTCATCTGGTAGTGTCTGCCGGTGGTAACAAAGTGATTCAACTACCTGACAATGAAGTGACATTGTCAGCATACGCTTTGCCGCAGGAAAACACAGGTTTTTTTATTAGTTTCTGATGGAAATCAAATTATGTTTTACTTCTTAGTGTAACACAGTTAATATTAAATGAAATACGCTTCAGTACTTTTTCAGTTACACGACTTTTTATATTGTGTAAAAGAATATTCCACAATGATTAGTGTAACATCTTTTACTTTTTTTCTGAAAAAAATTACTGATGGTTCTTTAAAAAAACTGTACTTGTGCGTGATGATAAATATTCCCGAAAACCAACGTTAAAACAAATTAAAACTGTTTCTTTTCTACAGAAAATATAAATTGAATATTTTTGTGAATCTCTTATATTTATAGTGAAATATTTTTGATTACTTTAACATTGTATTAAAGTATAACCTACAGTGATCATGGTTTGGCTGCAGCTTACGTTGGTTGGTATATTAAATACAGGGGTGAAATATTCGTATCTTTGGACACTGTTATCCCAACCAGGAGGAGATGAAGAAGCTGGCATCATGCAGGGTCAAACAAGCCCAACGCTTAAACTGTCAAAAGTAAGTTGTTTAGCCACCAAGATGCTGAGAAATATTTCAAATTTTTAATAGTTTCTGTACAAGTTAAGCTTTTGTTTGCATAAAAAGAAATAAAAAACGAAGTTCAATAATTACATTGTTTGTTAATTATAGATAAAGTGATATTCTATTTATTGGTTATTGATTATTGGTTCTGTTACCTTTGCCATTTCTAGTAAAATTATGAATTTGTTTTTGCACAGTTTAAGATTTTTCTAGTTTTAAACAAAGTTGATGTTAAAAGGAATATAAAAAGAATGTTTCAAACCTTTTATGTTTCCTCTGATTTAGCTTCGGTCTGGTGTTTATATGTTTGAAATTAGTGTTACTGGGAATGGATCTTCGGGAAAAGACACAGTCAATGTTACTGTCTTACCACGTAAGTGTGAGATTCATTGTATTTTCATCTTTCTGATATTGCCAAAATTTAAATAAGTTATGTGGACATCTAGATAATGATGACTGAAATTTTAAGTCTAGAAAATTCAAACCTAATCTACTGATATGTACACTGTATGTATTGCAATCAAATATAATAATGGATAAATCGATGTAAAAAGAGATGTAAAGTATCAAGACGGCTTTTAATTAATTGGATACTCTTGTCTTATTAAACAGCTAAACGGACCAATAAACCTCCTGTGGCTGTCATCCAGCCTTCTAATGTCACTGTCAAACTTCCAAATAAAGACACCGTGTTGGATGGATCTTGTGAGTTCTTTAATGATAGTAGAAGTGTCATAGATTGGCATCTGATCAATAACATCGGTGTTGATAGAGATAATTTATCATTAATTATTCTTTGAAACGTGTATATAAAAAAATTTGTTATTTTGTGTGATAATTATATAGAAGGTATACAATTTTGTTTGTAAATGTATTTAAGAGAAATGAAATTCACTGCAATATACAACGATTATATAAAGTTAAATTAAACTCAAACAGAAAGTAATAAAAAAAATATGGCACAACCGGTTTCATCTTGCATATCTGTTAAACTACTAGAAAAAGAGTCATAAATAAACAATCAGGTTTTTTTCCACACAGTTGTGGCTGTAATGCTAAGTATATACAAATGTTGGTACTTCGGACTTTAAGGAAATTGAAAATTTTCTTGCATTGTTGAGTGTTCATTATATTTGTACACAGGTGGAGATATGACATTAAACTAGTGAGGACCAGATTTGTTGTTTTGTGTGTGTAAGAGATTGTATCAGGTTTATCATTCTGTGTGTGTGTGTGTGTGTGTGTGTGAGGAATCATATTGAGTATGTGGAAAATAGCATGTTTTTGGTTGGTGCAAGTTTTGAAAACTTTTTATTATTCAGAGTTGGTTATAAATGAAGTGTTTGATCAGGTTAACATTTAAAAACAAATATTTCTATTGAATATTGTACAAATAAAAGCTAGCATATATTTTTATGTTTAATTATGTCATCTTGTGCTCGTGCACTCTTTTTACTGGTATGTGTTTTTTGAACGGTAAATATATGTATGTCCTGAAATAGTAAAGTTTAAGCCAAACATTTGGTGTATACTAACTACATCCCAGTTCTCCTTGTGATGACAGTTTGTAATAAAACAATGTATAACTGAAGTATTTTCGTTTTGGTTCTTAAATGAGAGCAAGATTCTCTAATCCAATCTCCCACCCAAAATTCCTTCTGAGAAGTCATCGTCGTACTTAAGATGAAACTTTGTTTTTTTTAGACAGCACTGATGACGACAAGATCATTGACTACCATTGGGAAGTTATCAGTCTTCCTATTGGCTACAAGATTCAGCTAAACAACAGCAGTACAGTTCAGTTAAGGAATCTAATCCCGGGCTTTTACAGGTTCAAGTAAGTTTTTTTTTATAAGCCGTAGAAAGAGAAAAGTTGATAGAGAGGTAGCTAGGTATTCATCAAGATATTAGTATTTGCCACTAGAATCTGTACTTTTCTTATATATAGCCAACACGAGATCAGAGAAAACAATTTCGTGTAGTGTACTACATGTTGGAGGTTCTGTACTTAGAAGTTAACTTATTTTAAATCATCCGGAAACTGCTCTTATTTATTTTTTGCAGTAGTTTTGTGTTAGCTAAATAATAAGATGTTGTATGACATCACACGTAATCATTTCACTGTATTGACTGCATTTTCATATGATAATTAAGTTTGGGATTCAGTGCGCTTTTTAGTTTGTATCACTTTTAAGTTCTAACATATCAGTGTTGTTTTTTTTTTGAGCAGTTGTTAATTTGTTTTTACCTTCTATTAGGCTATATAATTTTAGTAACAAGCCTAATACAACTTTGAAGTCTATTAGTTAAAAAGTAGAAAATTTGTAGTGATAAGATTGGATACCTAAGTTGTCATTATGCCAATAACCATAAGGTAGCTAGTTTTAATTTTTTTCTGGATGGTTATGATAGAAATTTCAACAGGAGTTAATTTAAATATGTAAAATTATGAGTATTTTTTAACAATAAAGTTGCTGTCATAATATATGGGAGATTCTTAGAACCAAGTTTAAGTTAATAATACTAATAACATTAAGTCACATCCAATAAACATAAAGTGATTGTCCCCATTAACCCTCTCTGCATGGGCATCCATTACTGTATGCGTATCAAGGTTTTTAGTGACTTACATTCAAAATTTAATTGCACTATTTTTTGCTTATATTATACAAATTAGTATAGTATAAAATCATAACTAATAGTCCAAATTTAGATATTTATAAATTTTAAGTTTTTAATTTTATAAGGTATAATTTTAAAAAATCCTGAATTTCCATTAGTGTGAGAAATATGACATTTTTTTCTTTAAGCATCCCTTCCACTCAAATTTATTCACCACCCCTACAATAAGTACGAAATTTAACGTAAATTATCCACTATAAAATTATCATCTCCCAGACAAACCTTATTTTTATAGCCTTTAATCTTGTTTGGTTACAGAACCATCAAATAGCAAATCAGACCCTTCTTGCCACACCCACCTGTCACATTCTCTCTTTCAGAATTTGTTAATAGTTTTCTGTTGCATTTAATAATAAATTATTTATAACCAATCGAAAGCGAAGGTTTTCATCTATCAAATGATGTATTATATTATTTTATAATCGGAGAATTTTCAATTTCTCTTAGTACAAGCTTTGTTCCTATGGGAAACATATTGACTAGCTTGGATAAATATATAATAGCTCTTGTCTCGTAGTCAGAAAGCCAGAAAAATTATTTTGGTTATGGGATACTGTCTGCTTTTTGCATGTTATTATTCTATGTTCTTTGATTCATTATTTAATTTAAAATTATTTAGTGCATTACTACCATTAATATAAAACAAAGTAGTGTTAAGTGACATCAACAGTCGACAGCAAAAAGAAGGCCCAAGTAAGTACTTTATTTCTTATTTTTCATCTGTATTCTTTACTTATTATTATAAAAGTAACTAAAATGTAAAAATAGGAATCTCTTTAGGGTAGTTAAAGTTAGATTAAGTAAAATGAATAATAATAATAGTGTAATAAAAAGATTCTGATACGGTACTTACCTCCACTCACAAGATTACCTATTCTGCTGCCCTCTATATGCAAACTTTTTCTTTATGCATGCCACAAGTCTTCCATTCCCCCTATTGGAATTTCAGGATTCCAACATGTCTCATGCATCACCTACTCACCAATAGGAGCATGACATGCTCTTGTGACTCCCTCTACACTCCTCTACCGAACTACAACTTCTCGTTTGGCAGTGCTTGTGTTCAGACATGCTGTTTTGTTTGTTTAATGCTTCACGTTTGACTTTGTTTCCTCACAAAGTTGTTGTTTCTTTAATTAATTTGCTTTCATTCAGCCTGTTTCTTTTATTAGTATTTATCAGTTAATTCTAGTTACCTTATTTTCTGCACTTGAATTTGGTGAACCTTTCTGTGCAATGAACTCCAAAGTTAACGTTAACATTTCGGGGGTTACACCAGTGACCAGCGTTTTTTCTTAACCCGATGGTAAATTCTTCTGCTTTTATAGGCCAGGATATTGAATGTTACATAGAACAACCTTTGTACCCGGACATCGCCCAGGCTGATCCTGTGCAGGCTGGCAAGGACTTCGATCGTCTTTTTCCACCTCCAGATGCTGTTCCTTCCCATTCCCAACCCAATGAGTCTTCTAGCCCTAATATGGTCTTTATGGCTTTTTTGTCTCAGGTTTGGACGTCTTATCCATTTCATCTAATTCTTATGCACCTCATCCTTCCTTACTCCATGAACAATCTTCCCAATCCTTTTTGGTTTTTACTCCTTCACCAGATATTCGGGTTCATGCTGATCACTTTGCCTCACAGTTAAGTGAGGGGATTAGCATGCTGCACCCCCCACAGGCTACAGGTCAGTTTGCACTTTCCTACCATCATGCTGACTATCCATTTTTAGACCAGTAGCTGTTAGGTTCCTTATTGCCTATTTGGGGAGTGGCTCTCGCATCATCTGTCAGTCTTACCCATGCCCAATATTCTTGCTTGCATCTTACCCTTACATATCTATCTGAGTTTCTCCACAGAAATCCTGAAGGGTTTTCTGGTGATACCCATGCCCTTCTCTCCTCCACTTTAGCTTGCATGTTGTCTTTGGCTCTGGCATTCCAAACATTGTTTCTTTGTTGCTGGGACCTTATAGGTTGTGATGCTGTATTGGCTTTGGTCCGTTTACCCTCAACATATATTAGGGATTTCCATACGGCCCCATTCCTGAGGCATTACATTTTTGTTATGGTCCCAGAAACTCTAGAGCCTTGGGTGACATCGGTCTAACAACAATCCACTCTTATGAATACCATAGTCCGTTTGTCTCAGTCAGAGCCTCGTATGGCTGCAATTACCATTTTCCGTCCTTCCCCTTCCCAGCCCTTACCTGTCCCTCCCACTTCTTCTTGTCGCTTTCCTCCATGATATACCCATATCACCTCAGTCTTATCCTTATCTTTAGTTTGTCCATCTCAGGGTAGTTTATCAATTTCAGGCCCTCCTCTTTGAAGTTGCTTTGGCACCTTATGAATTTTGGGTAGGCTGGTTGATCAAACTAGAGAAGTCCTTCCTCAGACCTACTCAATATCTTGTCCATTTGGGGGTCTTTTTCAACACTCGTATCAATTGAGCCCAGCCTTCTCCTTTATGACTTCATTCAATGGAACTGTTGGTTCGCCACCCCCCTCTTGGCTCAGTCACTTACTGCGCCAAGGGGTTCTTCTGCTTTTGGGGATGTGGTCATCAATGACATCACTGGTCCCCCTCTATCATGCTTGTATGAGATCACTTCAGTAGGCACTTCACAATTGATGGAACCTTGCTTGGGATCCTCTTTCCACCACCATTACCCTTTGTCTCTGCGAGACGATATGCTTTACTGGTTGGACAAAGCCCATACATTGGCTGGCATGCTGCTTCCTCTCCTATGTTTGGATATACATCTTTTCATGGATGCATCCCTTCAGGAATAGGGGTATGGGTCAATCACCAGGAGGCTTTGGGCCATTGGTGTGTGTGGATGAAAGCACTTTGCATATCAATGTTCTCTACTTCTAGTCATATTCCTTATTCTCACCTGACATTGTCTGGTGATGGTTCATTCAGACAATTCTGCAGTGGTGGCACATATCAATCACCAAGGGGCACCCGGTCCAGAGATCTCAGTTATCAGACACTGCGTGTCATATGCCAGGTTCTTTCAATTTGATCACAGTTCATCTTTCATGCCCCAACCAGATATATCCCACAGAGTGTCATTAAATCCTATCATTTTCAAGTGATCTTTAGCATTGGTGGGTTGGCCTCAACAACAAATTACCTCTCTTTTGGTCGCCTGTACCTCATCCCCAGGCTATGGCACTCGATGCTTTCAGCTAGGATTGGTTACACAAGTATCTTTGTGTGTACCCATCCATCCGATTTCTCTCATCCACTCCACTCCTTGTTGGGTCCTCCTAATTGCTCTTTATTGGCTAGCTCAGCCTTGGTTTCCATGGTTACAGCAACTGCTCCTCTACCCCCTTGTCCCTCTTCCACTTTATCCCTACCTTCTTTGTCAACTTTGGTTACATGTCCTACATCCCACTCTTCACATCCTGCTTTTTCATGCCCGGCTTTTGTCTGGTCCTTGGTGAGAAGATCCGGTTTCACACGTTGAGTTGCTTCCTTGTTAGCAGGCTCCATCCGTTCATCTTCCATAGAGGTGTATCAATGCAAGTGGAAAGTATTCCATCATTTATCTACAACTAGGGGGTTTCCTGCTGACCAGCCTACTGTGGTAGAATTTCTCCCCTAGCTCTTTGACCATGGGTCTTCAATCTCCTCGCTTTCGAGATATCAGGTGGCCTTATCCCATTCCTTTTGTTTTTCCCAATACCATAGAGTTTTTACTTCCCATGCCCTTACCATGCTCATGTGTTCCTTCCGGACATGTCAACCTCCCAGGTGACCTTCCCTTTCAGATTGGGATATCAATGTGGTCCTCCATTCCCTTTCTTTACCTCTGTTTGAACCACTTTCTTCATATTCCATGTTTCATCTTTCCCTTAAAACATATTTCCTTCTCTTAGCCTGTGGATGTCAATGGTCTGATTTGTTTTGTCATTGATGTTTCACACAGTTTATCATCCTACCTCTCTGCTCCATTATCCAGATTGTTCCTTTCTGCCAAACATCTTGGCAGCTCGTGAGGTTGGTTCCTCCTTTTCTCCCATTTCCCTTTCTTTTATTTCCCATCTTTACCCTCGCCTGGATCTGGATAGGCTTCTGTGACTGGTCAGGGCTCTTTGTTGTTATATTGCCCTTATTGCTTCCTTCCAGGGTACACGTTCTCAACTCTTTATCTCCTGGCAAATCTCCTCCCTTTGTGATCTTTCACCATCTACCCTTACCAATTGGGTCCATCTTTTGGTTCAATTGGCCTATTCCTCCCAACCTTCTTTCTCCTGGAATTTGTTCCAGGTCTCCTCCAATCAGATCTGACACCTCATCGTTCAATAGAGGAGATTCTGCAGTCCAGCATGTGGACCACACTCAGTAAGTTCATCTCCCACTATCTCCATGGTTTTCTCATCGTCTGGGTTTTATCTACCATCTATTCCATTCTTCAGACTTCAGTGCAGTTCTACCTGGTAAGTTTTTATTTCTACTTTCCTTTCTTTTGAGGGCCTTTCTCTATTTCTTTATCTCATGGATCCCACTCTGTGGTGAGTGGTATCTGACCAGGTATTCTTTAGCTCAAAGTCCACACTGTTCAACCATGTTGACTTGCACTTCCTCCCTGGCTTCACACACTCACCGTTTAGGTGGGGTGTTCCATAAGATCACTTGTAGGTGCATGACCTTGTGATATTTTGCTTTATAATCATGTCTGTCTCGGACTGTACCACCCATGAACTGCATGGGTAAAGCAGAAGGGGATTGCTGCCCATCCCTGCCATTCCTGGAGTGAATAACTCAGTATGGTCTGCTTTTGAAAATAAGGTTTTGTGGTCACCCATTACACTGTCTCAGGTGACGATGTTCCTTTGGAGTCTCCATCACGTTGTCATCCTCTTTTCTTCAAGTGAAGTATGGGGAGTCCTTACCATTTTTCAGTTCTAACCTGCTGGGGTGGTTTACCATGGAGGCACCCTGCTGAATGAATTCCACACAATAACCATTCAGTTACAGAGTAGGGAGGTGGTGTACTGCAGGTATAGATGACATGATATCCTCCTATTTGCAATAACCAATGAAACGTTAGAATGCAGTTCAACCCTTCCACTGGGAGCCCTCATCTTACCCACATATGGATGTCAGTACCCCAAAGGTTTTGTATTTAGAGTGAACCGATCAACATAAGTCCTCACACAGGTTTTGGGTTGTCTATCTTCCTCCCTCCATTTCTTCCATCTGTGCTGCGGGTCACAGAGTGGTATGTAGGATTGTTCTGGTTCTTTTCTTGGCTATCCTACATCCTCTCTTCTTACAGGGACGTTATTACCATTTGGATGGTCCTGGTCTGTTTCACGGTTGGGGGAGTTGATTGCATGCGATAGACATCCTTTTGATACCGGATGTCAAGTTCTCAGATTGATAGCTCAGAGCTAATCCTTGTGATTCTCAATCCCTCGGTTCTTGGGTTTGAGATGAAGACGGTATGATCCTCATCCTACCTTCACACGGATGTCAGTACCTCACGGGCAAGTTTTGGATGTAGTTGACTTAACGAATATGGTCCTCTGCACCCTAGCTACTCTACACCTAGGAGTGCATCCTTTGTTTACCCACCTTTCTCACTGTGGGATTGAGTTAAAGTATATTTTTATGGTTAGGGTCACTTTCCTGCCACATTCTCTTTCACTTGAATGTGCTCCTCTCATTTTCTGCCCTTATATATTACACTTTCTACAGTTGGGTGAAGTGCATACCTGGCTCAGAAGTAGTGTGGTTTCTCTCTTCTGATCTTTGGATCTGAATTTCTCATTTCCAGGGGTATCCTTCGGATGCTTTTGGGAAGTACCTCTGTCATTCCCTCGCACCAGTCTGTCCTCCTTATCAATTTGGGATTCTAGCTAATCTTGTGTGATGAGATAAGTACAGTATCGGAAGTTATAATTTTCCTATAATGAAAATTTATTTCTGATAGGTACTTACCCCCTCTCACACTTCCCACATTTCTCCAGTGCTGACATCTTCTGCCAAACTTCAAAGTGATAGTTCAGTAGAGAAGTGTAGAGGGAGTCACATGCGTCATGTGAGCATGTAATGCTCCTATTGGGTGAGTAGGTGACGCATGATGATTTGCATGAGACATGTTGGAATCTTGAAATTCCAATAGGGGAGAGTGGAAGGCTTGTGCCATGCGTAAAGAAAAAGTTCACATATGGAGGGCAGCAGTGAACAAGAATAGCTAATCTTGCGAATGGAAACGAGTACCTATTGGAAATACATTTTCGGTACAGGAATATTATAACTTTCATGTGGCACACACGTGAGCAGCTCAGAGTAACTCATGGATAATATAATTCAGCAGTTAGACATGGCTCAAAGGACAATAAAACAATAAAATTTAAGTATAAATAGATATCTACTGTTACAAGTTTAAAGCTGCTTAGGATAAATTAATGTAGTTTCAAGTCATTCTAGAAAGAAAAAATGGTAAATTAGATATATTTCAATTTTTTTTTGGTAGTTATGTGGTCGGTCAAATTGATCAATTTTGTATGGAATTAGGGTAGAGGAAATAACAAAATATACTGTTTTACTGAAAACAAACATTTGAAATGTCTTTACAAGGTTTTAGAGATTATTCGAATGAAATTTGAGATTTTTGAAAGGAAGAAAAGTATTTTTAATCTTAACATGAAAATCACTTTGCACTCGGACTATTCAAAACAAATACTTGATATATTCATGGATAAATCTTTTTTAGTTTATTAAAAATACTTCACTAAAAATCTGATTTTTGGTATGTGGAAGACTTTAATGTCTACTGAAAGTCTGCCAAATTTTTTGAAGATATACATACTATATTAAAAGTTAGTAGTATCAAAACTATGACGACTTTAAATGAATACAAAGTGGTCAGGCAATTTGACTGAGCCGGTGTCGAGAGAGAGTTAAGCATGATGTATTTCTTCCATTTTACCATGAAATTAGTTTGGTATAAGGGTGAAGTTATGAACCTAGTAGCTGGATATAGTTGTTTTAACAATATAATTTGTCTTTAACTGTGATCATATAGACCTTCCTTGACAGTACCCAAAATATCAAAGTGACAAGCTGTTAGGTCAGAACCATGAGGTTCATCCTAGTTACAACAAAATGTCTTTCATTTTGATGATGTATAAGTTAACAAGCTGACTTGGACCATGCAGGGATGCTAGAGTGACATTCATTGTCTTTGCAAGAATATACTCACGAACAGAGCACCAGGTTTCACCCCAGCATATGGATCCCACAGTTCTTTTCCGATCACGAACATGCTTCATCAGTGCCACCGTGTAGTGAAAACTAACAACTTTTTTTTACATTGTATCGATAAAACACGATGCCCCTTTCATCAGATGAATATTAACCTATTATCACAATACTTCGTTAGCCAGAAAATCCCTTTTCTTTCTATCCTCTCTTCATTTCAAATAATTTTATAAATATTAACAAATGTACCTAAGAGAGGAGCATGAATATGGAGGATATTAATATCTTGGTCAGTTATTTTGATAAAGATTATTTTTGACCATAAATTTTGTTGATAAGTTTTGAGCAAGCTTATTTTACTGCATACTCCTCTAGTATGTTACTTTTTATCGTTGTACAGATTTCGGTGAAATCTCTAGTGATTCAGAAAGTTTCTTTTTTATCTTGCGTAGGCTTACAGTGAAAGATTCGGATGGAATTTTGAATTACACGTTTGCCAATGTGACAGTTTTGAAAGGTGAGGAAAAAGTAGAAAAAGCTTGTTACGTATTGGATAACTAGAGCTCATTTAAATCTAATCTAATGTTAAGAACTGAAAAGAAATTTGTAAAGATAAAAAAAAATATAATATGCTAAAGGATAGAGAATTATTCTAAATATTTTCTTTTGCTTGTGTTTTGTAGAGAAAGACTACCCTCCTACTGCCAATGCTGGCTCTGATGCTGTCATGTACCTTCCTCAAGACGATGTAACCCTGAATGGAAATCTCAGCAGTGATGATAAAGGTATCAAAAGTTACCAGTGGGTGAAAAGTCCCGAGACAGATAAATCTGTGGACATGGAGGTTAGAACCATTGTAAATACATTTGGTGATTGAGTATTCAAGCAGATAACTAGACATGTAGGGCAGACTCTTCTGGAGATGTGGAATCACAGTAAAGTAAACAGAAGTTGATACGCAACTAAATAAACAACTTGTAGTGTGTCTTTAACCTGGGTACACTATTAAACAGAAGTTGATACGCAACTAAATAAACAACTTGAAGTGTGTCTTTAACCTCGGTACACTATTAGACAGAAGTTGATACACAACTAAATAAACAACTTGTAGTGTGTCTTTAACCTGGGTACACTATTAGACAGAAGTTGATACACAACTAAATAAACAACTTGTAGTGTGTCTTTAACCTGGGTATACTATTAAACAGAAGTTGATACGCAACTACATAAACAACTTGTAGTGTGTCTTTAACCTGGGTACACTATTAAACAGAAGTTGATACACAACTAAATAAACAACTTGTAGTGTGTCTTTAACCTGGGTACACTATTAAACACTAGGTACACTATTAAGACTTATTTTATTGGTAGTATAATCAGTACAGTATAACACTGTCCGTATTTCTCTTGGACACATCAATAACAAAGATGTATTTCACATTAATTCCTCATTAACAGGCTGTACTTTACATCACTAAACCATTATCAGGCTATATTGTACATGAATACACCAGTAACAGGCTGTATTTTATATAAATACACCAGTAACAGGCTGTATTTTATATAAATACACCAGTATCAGGTTATATTGTACATGAATACACCAGTAACAGGCTGTATTGTACATGAATACACCAGTAACAGGCTTTATTTTTTATAGATACACCAGGAACAGGCTGTATTTTATATAAATACACCAGTATCAGGCTATATTTTATATGAATACACCAGTATCAGGCTATATTTTATATAAATACACCAGTATCAGGCTATATTGTACATGAATACACCAGTAACAGGCTGTATTTTATATAGATACACCAGTAACAGTCTGTATTTTATATAAATACACCAGTATCAGGCTATATTTTATATGAATACACCCGTTTCAGGCTATATTTTATATGAATACACCCGTATCAGGCTATATTTTATATAAATACACTAGTATCAGGCTATATTGTACATGAATACACCAGTAACAGGCTGTATTTTACATGAATTCACCAGTAACATGTACATTTTGGATTATTTAAAGATTATTTAACTAGTAGAACTATCTTTTAGGATTGTATCACTGGTGGAATTATTAGTATTATTTTTTTTTTTATCAATATACCAGTATAAAATGTCATTATCACTGTAAGTAGCCATCAGTTTAATTTGTTATAATAACTACAGGGTACTAATAGCCCATATCTTCATCTCTCACATCTGGAAGTTGGAGTCTACAAATTTATTTTAAAAGTGACTGACACTTCTGATCAGACGTCTGAAGCAGAAGTTCACGTGTTTGTCAAGCCAGAAAGTAACATTCCTCCAAAGGCTGTAGCTGGCGAAGACATAAATGTGTCTTTACCTTTAGATAAACCCGTCACCTTGGATGGTAAGAAAAGCTCAGATGGTATAAAAATCATGAAGTGGAACTGGAAACAGGTCAAGTGAGTAATTATATTATTTTTAAACTACATTTCAGAAACAATGCTAGATAGAAATCAAGTAAAAGGAAACAACGTTCTTTACGTTGATTCTTGCAACATCCTTAGCTAAGTTTGTTTTGTGTTGCAGCTTCAAGTTTAACTCTTTAGTTACATAAACAACCTGCTAGATCCTTGAATAAGTTTGTATTTACTTTATTACTCAATCTTGTTGATAGCTAAGTAGTCTAATATGTGAAGTAATCCAAAATGAACAAAAATATATCTTAAAGTTATGAGAGAAGTAATTAAAATCGGCATTGATGAGTGACTTAACGGAGAAGAAACAAGGTCGTGTAAGTACAGTGATCTTAATACATTTATTTTTGTGACCTATATGAGATATTCTTGTTAAATAGTCAAAGAGCTTGAATTTACTAATATTTAAAATCATCCATGCTGAATCGTACACGTTTGTTTTAATATATTTGGCTGACAGTTCTTGTGCACAGATTTGATAAAATTAGTTGATGACTCCAACTTCTGTATACAGGAAGCCATTTCCATGATGCCACATGCAAGATCGTGTCACCCATTACCACAGACATTGTCCTCATTTTCATAGGGCCATTGATGTCTCTTTATGTAATGGAGATCTAATGTTAGAATTGAATTATTTAAAATATATAGCAATTGGTAGAGGTTATGAACCTGATATTATAGATAGGATCTTTAAAGTAGTGAATAATGTTTTGTGTCGAAAGAAAAACAAAAAATACAGGATCGTGGTTGTAAGTATACTTACAAATCAGAAGATTGTTGTTGTTGTTGTGAATAAAGTGGTCTGGGCGGTGTTATTATTAATTTCTCAGCAATCGTTTTTCTCATGTCGGTTCTGATTGTCACCTGATTATGCAATAATCAGCCCAATTTTGATTGATGGACCGATTATTAGTAAAACACTATTATAAAACCTGATTTTGCACTATCCCATGGGCTGAGTGATTAGTTTACTAAGTCTATGAATCTGAGAGTTGATGTTCTGTTACCACAAAAACATACTCCACATTTTGGGTTGTATGCTATAAGGCAACAGTGAAGTTCCATTATTCATTTAGTAGTACTGTTCAAGATTTGGTGATAGATGCTGTTATCTAGGTGCTTTACCTTTAGTCTGTCAGTTCAAAATTAGGAACATCTTTGTGCAGGTAACCCTAGTGTAGCTTTCCTGAACAAACATTTATTGGTCTCACCCCACCTCATCCATGTTAAACTTCTTTAATTTCTCTACAAAATTTGCGGTGTTTAATATATTATGTTTGGTGCGATGAGTTTGTTGATCAGATATTTTAAAAATACGTCACATTTCATCACAGTGGACCCAAACCTGCAAGTATAGAAAATGGCAATACATCTACTGCCCAGGTGTCTCGCCTTGTACCGGGAGAGTATGTATTCAAACTGACTGTCTGTGATGACAAAGGACAAAATACATCGGATGAAGTCAAGGTTATTGTTACTCAAAGTAAGTTAATGAGATCAGAATGTATTAGTGATTCTGTTCCATCTTATAATGTAATGTTTAGGAACAACTATTGGTCCATCTAGGTTGTCCCATCCTCTAAACTAAACTATTAAATAAATAAACAAAACTCTCAAAGCCAGTTCTTATCATTCATATATTTATCAAGCTTTCTTTTAAACTCACTTAAATTTACTGCCTCTACAACATCTGAAGACAACCCATTCCAAAGGCCAACCACCCTGTTAGAAAAATAAAACTTTCTTTGCTGAAGATGACTCCTACCTTGCCAAAATTTATACTTGTGTACCCTAGTCCTACTATTCTCAGTGTTAAGTATGAAAAAAAAATGTTGTATCAGCACTTATCAATTCCCTTAATAATCTTAAACACCTCATTCAGGTTCCATCAAGAGAAAACACTTTTAGATATCTCAACCTCTCCTCTTTTGACAACCTCTCCATCCCAGACACTATTCTAGTAACCCTCCTTTGAATCCTTTACAACAACTCAATGTCCTTCCTAAGGTAAGGATCCCAAGAATGAATGCAATACTCCAAAAGTGGCCTAACTAGTAACCTATACAATGTAATCACAACCTCTTTAGACTTGTATTCAATATTTCTGTAGATACAACCTAAAATCCTATTTGTCATACCACTAGCAACAGCACACAGCTTGGATGACTTAAGAGACTGATCAACTAGAACTTCAATATCCTTTTATTCCATAACAATGTTAAAGTTCAAATTATACTTATAATTCAAATTATGATAACCCTCATGCATTATCTTGCATTTGTTATAATTAAAACCCATCTGCCATTTATTCGCCGAAGTTGCTAAGTGATCTGGATACTGTAGTAGCATTGAATTAATCTGTAGAGCTGGGTGACTAGTGGAATTGCTAATCAATTAATTGTCATTAGTTGATTATGTTTAACAAGTTAATTATTTTCATGAGATGACTAAAAAATGTAAAAAAAACCTTATTATGCTAAAAATCAGGTTTTGATAACTGTGGTCAGTGGATTGTGTAGCTCTGAAGAAGCATAGACATTATTTGGATTACTTGGACAGTTGAAATAGTCAAAAATAATAATAATAATTAGAAACCCTAATTATTATTAGTTGCTTGTTTATATGACATTAAAATTTGATGACGAGGAACCCATCTTGAGACTAATAATGCTTGCAGCTGGCTTGAATGGGTAATGAAGAAAAACTTTAGTATATGTTTAACATAACAGCAAATGTACGACGTTTCGACAAGGTTCTGTCATCATCGGGTATCTAAATGAGTTGTTTTGGTTGATAGCACGTTGTATTATGCCGTAATCATCTGATGATGACAAAACCTTGTCGAAATGTTGTACATTTGCTGTTATGTTAAACTTATACTAAAGTTTTTCTTCATTACCCATTCAAGCCAGCTGCAAGCATTATTAGTCTCAAGATGGGTTCCTCGT